TGCTCTTAAAGCGTTTGCCTGTATAGCGAATATCTAGACCACTCTTAGAATATTTCTTTATTAGCAGTAGTATGTGCTTGTGCAGTAAATGGTTGCCTGATTAAGAACCACTTAACTGACTTTTTAGAGAAATCACTGAATGATAATCTATTCTATTCATCAGGAAGCACACCCATACAAACTATTGCACCCCATACTATTCTCAAAACTACTGTGAATTGCTTTATACCTAATTCCTCCGCTTCAGCTCAATCACCCATTAAGCCACCAAATCATCAACAACCTTAACTGAGGTACTCAATGAAATTCCAGAATCCGCAAGAAAGCCTCAATCGTGCAGATGCCCTGCGCTAACTTATAATACTAATGCATAGCATCTACTAAAGATAGAGCAGAACAGGATATTACCGCGGCAGTTAATTGCCTCTATGTAGTAGTTTACTTTCCTAGGCATACTGCGCCTTTGGTTTTTTAGGGTTATATAAGATGCACAGAGGAGAATAAGACTGACTTCCTATGGCATATGTATGAAAGATTAATATCATCAAAGAAATGATAATCAAACAGCTCATTCGAGACATTCTCTTCGGATCTTGCTTTTGCCACCCTTGGTTTTGACCTATCGTAGCCAGTATATTGTTGGATCGACGGATAGCGTCGCCATAGCACTTGGTATTGAGATCCTCGGCGGAGGGGTTGCCATATACTTTAGATTATTGCCTGTAACAGATTCCATTAGATGTATATACTGAAATGATACCTTGCTCGGGGCAAATTGAATCTAGGCTGTTGTGCAGGTAAACAATGAGAGGATGTAACCCACCATTCTTCCCCAATGGGGCTTAAAAACCTCCTTCGATCGTCATCGCGCCGCGTCTGGACTCATCGCCACTTAGACGACTGTTCAACTCGGGTGACTATTAGTACTGTGCGCTGCTCCCTGGTAAGTATGCCATATGCAATATGTTGCTCGACATTACGCCGAGATAGCGATGCGGAATAGTGACTCGTGATATCAACTGGCAGCCAGAATGAGGAGCCGAGATTGGCATGACGTGGGGATATCCATTCATGAGCATGGAGAAAAGTCAATGACGGCTTTTGATTGCTGATCAGAGGCTCGGAGATGAGGACCTCTAGGCCCTTCCTAGCTCTAGATCAATGGGACTTGACGGTCATATCCCGTTGACTTTCGAATAAATTGCTTGTGCGTCGTCGAGTACTTTACATCCAGAAGTCTTCCTAGTCTGTCTACTTTGCTGAACAAACTACGTCGAAACTTATTCGTATTGGACAAGCTCGAGAATCTTGTCGATCTTGGAATTGTTACGATCCCAGAACAAGTACTGCAATACAAAAGGATTATGGACTGGTCCCTATGTAGCATTACCTTGCATAAAGTGTTCATCGTTCAATTACATGTACTATAAACAGGCTGTGCATTGTAGGCCCAAATGCTTTGCAATGTAGCAGCAGGAAGGCTACAGAAAAAGCAGAGCAGCTTCCTGCTCTTACTTACACCAGTCAGTCTGTGTGATCCACCGCGCACTATACAGTCGTATTCTGAAGCAGTTCTGCTACCTTAGGAGGAGAAAGGCTTTGTAAATGGGGCAGCACATTCGCTCTTCGTTAGGGTTTTGGCCTTGAGATGATACATATGCAGTAACTCCAGCTCCCGAGTACTCAGCTGGGCATTGCTGATTAAGGGTGTGAGTGAGATGGAGATGACCTCACCGGAAGATATGTCATGCCACTCTAAAGATATGCTACTATACTCTAAGAGGCATCCTTGTGTCTCAGCCACCTACAAGGCATTGGCACAGGAGAATGATGACATAGTCCATTGGTGTCTGGGTTAGGAAGAAATCCTAATGTATCTCTCATGTCTGACTGCGGGGTAAATATATACAAGCTAGGTATAACCATAAATTCATGAAAGACCATCTGAGGTACAGAGTAGACATATATCCAGGCCCTGCTGTAGGTAGGGTAGGGCTTTATGGAAAGAGAGCCATAATCTTCCATGCTCCAATGGAGCCAGACTCAGATCTATGTATGTTGAAATCTGTATCTGTGACGCCACGGATGATGGCAGCGCCATCTACAACAATGTCGTAGGATAAAGTCGCATTCAAGAAGGCTTCACAATCGTTAACCTGTCTTTGGAAAAAGAGTGCACCAGTTCCCTCTTGACCGTCCGATAATCGTCGAATGATTCCTCGTATGCTTTGAGAAGTTGCTGTTTCTCTTTAGATGAGAGATTACTCCCCCACGACTCTGCAAGATTTGCCTTGGCCTCGTTCTTATTTATCGGGGGCCAGGAATGACAAAAGATCATCGGGACTGCCTGGTCATCGTGGAAATGGCCATCATGGTGGGCGTCATGCATTGACATATGTGCTGATTCGGCCTCGAAGACACATTTCTCGGATTCTCTAGGCTCCGATTTAGGAGCGTAGGCGAATAGACCGCTCTTCGCAAGGTAGCTGAAATCCCACGTCATTCTGCTTGTGGAAACACGAGGATCATATAATTAAGAAAAACATTGATAGGAGGCTTATAACCGGCTTAGCTAGAAGACTAGTGTTTCAATGCAGAGAAGCTACAGGGCTTTTAAGCCTGAGCTAGAGAAAGGACTATCCAGAATAAGCTGTCAACATAGCTGTCCTGGGTACAAGTTAGAGGATCATCATTCCATATCTAACTTAAAGATCCAGCCAAAAGCTGATCTTAATGATTCATAGAATGCTACAATCGGGTATTTGGAAGATATGCTGCTTCTAACAAACAGCTGGTTCCCAGTGGAAAAAGAAAAAGAAAAGGACTGAAAAATAATAGGATGGCCGGGAGCTCCGTATGATAGGTACCTACCACTCGCAAGGGTCCAGATCATGAACATGCATTGGTCAGACAGCTTTTGAGTTGAATGTCACTGAAGTATGCTCTGCCACTTCGAGCGAGAAAGTGTAAGTGTCATTCTCTAAATGGCGGCTTGAACATACCTCCACACATTCCTGTCATAACCACCCAGCAAAGAAAGTTCGTCATATCCATGGTAGCTATTTTGACGGCTGTATTTTCCAGCCGCTTTAAGCCAATGTGAACTTTTAGGGTCCTGGCTGTCACTTTCGCTCAATGTGTCTGGGGCTTGCAACAATGCGTATATTAGTCGATTATACCTCTACATAAGTCACAACTTGATAAGCTGCATAAGGAGAACCTAGACAAGCAATGTATGCATGTATTATCATCGCATTGAGCCATTTTCAGGATTCGAGGAGGGTAGGCCGTCGATTCCACTCAGAATCGGACGGTTTCAGATGGCACACAGTCATCTGATAGAATGAGATCCCTAGAAAAGGTAATTGAAAATTGCTGGATCGCTGATACTAATGAGAATTGTTAACGAACCTGGAACCCAATCGCAGCGATTCTCTGGCTTCGGCCCTATATCTCTCTTCCACTCTATACGTTCGGGCTGTGTTTGTCGGTGAACCACTCCATCCAACGAGTATCTGAGTAATCAATTGCCCTATGGTTACAGTAAGGAGTCAAGTAGGTTCATTCAAGGACCACATTGACATTTGGAAGACACGCGATATTGAGCCTCATTGGTCGAAGCCCTACTGAGCATCTGGTCGAGCGTCTATTGGACGGCTGATGTTTCCGGTCATAGTTGGTTAGACGCATGTAAACGCCACCCATGGAAATCCAACGGTTGCTGATACCGAATGAATGGAAAGTGTCATACTCCGTACTGTCAACCTTATCGGAGAGCTTCTTATCTGACAGTTGCCATGATTGAACCATGAACCAGAATCCCCATGGGCAACCAAATGCAGAGTCAGCTTAGCCAGTATTTTTGCGATTGAGAGATCACTGACAGTGTTAAATCGTTCGACCCTCTGATGAGAAGATCGTTTGAGCCATCCTTCGGTTTAGTTTTGGCTCGGTCTCTGTCAACTTGACGGCTCTCCTCTAATGCCAAGACATGAATGTCAAAAACTGATCGCCAAGCCCTTGATGACACCCTCCACAAGTCTGATTTGACAGACACCGGGGTTGCAGTCAGATGGCCGCTCCGGCAAACTCCACCGAGCCGATCTAGGTGCGTCGATTGACATGTCTAGGCACGACATGTGAGCTTCATTGGTGGAGATTGATATAGATGCTGCTGAGTGGATGTTGGTTGGTAGATCTTCGGCCGATGATATATGGAGCTGATAGTCTTGGTGCTGGCCATTAGGTCCAGGGGGCGACAACTATAGGCGTGGATAGATTTTCCAGGCGGTATACATTCCTCTTCTGAAAATTGAGAGATGATTCCACGGAGATCTGTCGCGAACCATGCTTACTTGATGCAGAGGATGAGTCAGTTTGGAAACAAGGAACCTGAACGTGGAGTAGAAAAAGGCATTCCCTAATTCTTAGCTGGCGGTAGGACTAAATGAAGAAGAACCTTACAGCTCCTCGAAAACACTAAAATAATGTTAAGGTAGGTTTGAACCTAGAATGTCGCTTATCCAGTCTGGTTTGGTCCTCATGACATAGCCTTCCCTTAACCCTGGGAAGTTAAGGGTCCTTCCTATTTAGCAGCAATGCCAAATTGTCGACCATCTATTCTTCAACGCCTCACGTTCGATCTGGCTGCAGTACTATTGGTTAACATTCAGCAGATCCCTGGTTGGTACTGGCACATGTCGATCCCCAGGTAGGCCTAATGACACATGGCGTCATGAAGCTGAATACTTCCGTGGCAAGGCAATACTTTTGTATATGTATCTATCGTTCACGGCTTGTCCTCTCCCCTATTCAAGCTCCGAGAAATCATCATAGATCAACTTTCTGTTTACAACTATGAATATGTGACTTAAGGCAGCTGCATTGTTTTACAACCATTGCCTACTGCCATCAGGATGAATTATTACAGCAGAGCCAGCGCTTCAATTTCGTGGCCTTTTCAAAGCAACAGTAACATTTGCTTCCAGCAGAGCTCTGGTATGGCTACATATCCCGACATACTACCAGGTCCTCAGGATGACAATAATACCATTGATGCATTTCAACTGAGGAGCATGCTGCCAGAGACTATCACGCAAGATCCCACCGGCAATATGGTACTGGACCCAGAAGACATCTTCCCTGACGAAATGTCAGGGCCGCCAGAAACTGTCAAGTTCCCTACTTATATCAGCGCATTTAGGGGAACTGCCGTCTCTTCTGATCTCTCACCATCAGTAGGTCATCCACTTAATCCAGTCCATCTTCTCTTCTGTTCTAACCTGTGACATGATATAGGAGGTCAGAAGTAAGACCCAACTGTGGCCACCAACTTCTTGTGCGCAACAATCAGATCGAGCCTCATCTGATAATTCAACCTTAGACACCACCGCACCAAGCGCCTCAACTGATTCCATGAGTCGCATAGCCAATACCAAACAACAACCCCATAACCAAACTCGACAGCGGTCAAGCCCCAGAACCGTTTCACAGCAAGATCTTTCTCTAGTCACTGGCGTACTATCTCCATCGCCCTCATCAACTCCTACTACCAAGAAAAGTGGAACTTCATCTGCCGATTCTCAAACGATCAAAGGCCGCAAAGCTGCCAAACGGGCATCCCATAATATCATTGAGAAGCGGTACCGCACCAACATGAATGCCAAGTTTACCACTCTAGAAAAGGTCATCACTAGTTGTCGGAACAAACAAAAGGTCTCAATTAATAGGCCGTGCTCGATGAAGAAGTGTGAAATCCTCACTAGCGCAATTAAGTGTATTCAAAATCTGGAGGAGCGGAATGCTGCTCTGAGTGAGGACGTGGCATTCTTAAGAGAGCAGCATCATCTGCTTGGTGCGATCTGAGGCCTGTCAGACAGACGTTCTGTTATGCCGGTATCATGATTTTGCTCTTTTCTAAACACTGTATAGTAGGGATTTGGCGCTGTGATCGTATTTGTTGATTTGACTTAGCGGCTTGCTGTACTTATCTTAATCTGATAATCCAGGAATGCCTTAACCTGGCAACCCTCTTCATCAGTACTTAGCCTAGGAGCAGTTATGGAGAAATTAGAGTCTCTAAGCTTTAGAATAGGATAATGTTCTAACTTTAATGAGGAAAGCCTGAAGAACCTAAAGAGATCAGTGGTGGCTGATTCCACCCTACCTCATCAATGAGCGCCTACTCGCTACTGGACATATACCTAATAAGAGACCGAACGTGCAGCAGCTGTAGCTGCAGCTGAATATGCCGTCAAGTCGCTATAGTGTTCAAACATTTGCTCTATTACTGTTAGTTAGAGATGATATAGCCAGGTGAGAGCAAGCTCCCAGATCCAGTATGATTACAGTCCATCTACAATCAGTGGAAAATGCGAGAGTTGAGAAATTGCATAGCCTCGAGTTGGAAGACCTGAAATGTTAGTCAGAATTGCTTTCCATAGCCACGTCTGGTTACTCTAGACATAATCAATCTACTTCCTGGCTTCCAGTACTCCTTAGAACGCATTATCTTACGATAGTAAAAGGATTGAGGAGATACAAGGAGGTGTAGTACTCCGCTTCTGCTTGAAGATATAGAGCGTCGCAGACATACAATCAAGCTACAGAAGTAGCACGACCAGCAGGATCAGTTTGTGTTTCTCGGACTCAGAATTCGTCAGCCCTATGCAACTGCTGCTTGGGGAATATCCAATGAACTTTTCCGGGAAATCAATGCCTTACTTCTCTTAAAAAAAGGTGGGTTGTATGGCACTTTAGTACTCTGCAGCTGACACTGGGATCTCAGTCTTGCTTACGCCCTTGAATAAGAAAATCCAAGTGAAATAGAGTGAGCAGATACTATCCATCCCATTAGTGGTAATGTAGGATATAACCTTCGTTGTTGGAACTGCAGTAGATAGATATAAATGTATACTAAGGGATAAGCACTTTCTAAAGCACTACTCCCTCTATTTCATGACTTAGGGGAACTTTATCTAGCTGTTACTAGCCTTAACTAACTACTGACTAGTTGATGACTACCTACTAATTATCAAAATAAACTATTAGTCTTCTGCCCATAACAGCCTCGGCTGCTGTATCACACTCCTTTATGGCGGACCATGAAAGCATTTAATAACATCCTAAACAGGGGAGTGAGAGAAAAGAGAGCGACTATGTATAGTACGGTATACTTAGGATAGACAAACATGGTGAAGAATACCAAGCGGCAGAGACCAGTATTAACCTACACAGATCTGATGGGTCACTTCTGTATATGGCATGAAAAACCACACAGGGCAAAGCCAGGCTCCAGGCCCATCACACAGCAGCCAACATGACTGACGCCAATCTACAGAAGGATCACAAAACACATTTTTGTATTAAGAGACTCCTGGAGATCTCCTCTCTTTGAGGTTCAACTGCCAGCCATTCTTATTATGGGTTTGTGGTTTGGCAACAATAAACAATTAACCGACTATGACAGCGGATCTCTAACAGTCTCTTATTACCAATCGCAACACTCTACGACCAGTCTGGACCAGCGAGGAGAGGGGATCCAACGCATGTCAAGTATGTCTGACATGTGAGCTGCAGCGGCCGAACGGTGAGCGGAAGGCCTTGCCTGGACAGATACGGAGTACATAGCCGCGGTGTGCTGCGCGGCACCGCCCCTCTATACTTGATCCACAACCCCTCGGGATCCCAACTGTGTGTTCTTGATCATAGCACTTGCAGTTGGCAACCAAAGTTGCTTGCCAACAGTCGACTTGCTCATCGGATAGAAAGAATAATACTAAGAGAGCACCTTTCTTCTCGAAGAGTCGAAGTCCCAAGTCCAAGGGCCAATGGAAGCGCTAGCCTTTCGCAGCAAAATACGGAGCCGAGCGGGCTGCTCCAATCTGTTACATAATCTCGAGTCGTTTGCCCAAGCTGATGGAAATGCCGGAGAGCGCGGTTCGGGGCCTGTCCGTGCAGTCGGGGGCACTGACCAATGGGAACGTGTTTGGTCGCCTGAGCCAATCAGCTCTCTGCGATAACAAGATCAAAGAACCTCCAATTCCAAGGCGACGCCAAGAGCCCCACCAAGACCGCTTGCAGGATTGATTGGTTTCCACCCTTGGGTCTTGGACGCCACAACGGATTGGCAAGGTAGCAGTGCCCAATCGATAGAGTAGCAGCCTGTCGTAGTATGCTGGAAGTGGGATGGATTCCTCGCTCGTGACCACACCGCTAGACAATGGTTTGGGAACCAGACCGATAAGGGCGGGATATTCAAGGAGAAAGGGGGGATCTACTTCAGCATCATCCTGTCGTCAATGTTTGTCATGAGGCTACTTGCAGTATGCATCGTACCTTTGATACTAAAAGACATCATAGTCTGGAGCAGTTGATATGCACATACCTCTTCAGTTATGGGTAAGGAGCCATTTTGGTCCGTCGCTACTCGTGAACTACTCCATACAGGGTAAAAAGATATCTCAGCCAAGGTGGCCACTGTGGGTCGTCGTCGCATGTGGAAATTTGGAGTAGCATCCAATAAGAGTAACCGTTTTTCATCTTAGTCTTGACTTCGGTCTGTCCTTTGGAATTTGGATCCATCAAACGCAAACCAGAGAGTTAGCATCACTAAAGAGCCTATGAAGTACTTCAGCCTGTACGGTGGCGGGTTGGAGATTTGGAGATGGAACATCATCGCCATCGTCCACAACGTAACAGTGGAGACAACAGTCGAAGATGAGCTGAGGATTGCCTGAAGGGGCAAGAAGTCGTGCTCATGCTCCTCTTGAAGTCAGTATACCTCACGGGGATTGCCACTCGCATCAGAACCAGACCACGGAAGGGAGTGACGACCAAACAGATGGCAAATGCGAATCAAGAAGAAGCGGTCAACAGTAGCTTTGATGTCCAGCATCTAAAGCTGTCATTAACTCATTATGACTCGAAGTGATTTGCAAGGGGAGAGGATGCGATACGGGAGGATGAACACTCTACCGCAAGATTATCGGAGTAGATAGGGAGATAGCAAATTAGCCAGTTGACGGGCTCGCTGATCCTGGGCATGCCGGCAGAATGTCGCATCCCGTCCATGATTTGCTGCCTTTCCTCTTAACCGGAATCCCACCTGGGGCGACTCTGCCATACCGCTTATTTGGATGAAACGCGAAGCTCCCCCAGAAAGGAATGAAGGGTCACCCATTTACTGCGGACTGTTATCTTCTCTGTGTCTACTCCATACTACTAATCTCAGAGACCATCAGGAATAATTATGATTATCCATGAATGAGATTCATAGCTCGACCGTCATTTAGATAGATTACAATCCTCCGGACCCGCAGAATGCTGAATGTCAGCAGCTAAGCTGTAACACTAATAGAAATTAATCCGGTAGACTTGGTAGGTAGACTAGCTGGACTATAGGAGGCTAAGGAAATCCCGAAAATCAGCCAGAACAGAACGGCCTCGGTAAAAGGCCGTTCTCGATCAAGTACGGATAGACACCACTACACTATTTCTTCCGATGGCTGGTTTTCGGGATTCACCCATAAACGCCGTGTTGGATTTTGAGACAACAATACAAAGTATTGTCTTCAAGATCATGATGCAGATGGCTAAAACGATATACATCATAGCTTTATCTTCTTCAGCATTTCGGGAGAATATCCATGTATAGACCCTGCCACCATGAATCTTATATGCTCCATGAACCACTCAGCATAGATCACCAGCCGTTCAATGCCGTCATGATTATGATCCTTTGGAGTTTATTAGTTCGGCCTTGGTAACAGGGAAGACATTTACACCGTATCAAAGGGAAGTCTGTAAAGGCAAGAAAACCCGGCCGTCCAACCGGCCCACGATGATTAGCATCCATTTCCTCTAGTTAGATAGCTGTTAACAAATAACGTGGCAGGGATTTCGTTTCGAGCGATCCCCATCTCCATCGTCCATGCCTCGTCCTGCTCCACTCTGTTTCTTCGGACTTTCTAGCCTCAAACCTAACCTGTTAGTGTCTTTCGGTGTCCTCCACAGGGCAGCATAATAATACTACTACGGGGTACTAATAATAATAATTAATACTACGTACTGAGAAGACGCATGGCAAAAAGCGGCCCCTCCATTCCGCCGTTTCGAGTACCGTCGCCTCTTTCCCCGGCTAGTAGTATCTTCTTCTGGCTGTTCCATTCTCCCATCCGGGACTTGGCTCGTTCCCTGGGATATCCTTATTAGTACTCGGCCTCGCCCAGATCTATACCACGGCTTTGCTTTTCTTCTCCTTATCTGTGCAGTAAGCCCTGTGAGCAAGGTACATTCTTCTGCTAATCCATCCAACTAGCATTTGATCAATCAAGCGCTTATCTTTTTGCATATCCCTTGTATCCCATACACCATAATTATCATTCCAATCTGCATATACTGCTTCTTGCTTGGACCTCCCATTATTCTTACTGGTCGCTGCTGTCAACAGTGAGCGATGCTTGTCTGCTCCCATTCAACAAGACTCGCGACTACCATTCACCACCCCTAAACCAGCCTGTATTCACTGCTTTTGATAAGCGTATTGCTACTCGCCTCTCCTCTGTTCGCCATTTCAGTGCTCTCTCCTCTCTACAACTCTCTCTCTGTTTGGGATCACCCACATTTACGAATCTCGATCCCCTCACGAAATAGACAAGATAAAGATCATGGCCACTCACGTTGTCACTACCACCACTATTTCTCCTCTGTCTGCCAACCAGATCTCTGTTTACGGCCATCCATCTCCTGTGAACTCGGCTTCCGCCACCCCTGCCAAAAATTCTCCCACTTCTCCCCGTCTACAGCATCTTCCTTTGCAGTGTCGCCAGCTGCGGCCTCTTAAGGGTCCCTTGTACGTCCCCGCTGCCCTGCGTCCTACCGAACGCCCTCAGAAGTCCTCTCCCCCCACCCCTCCGCGCAGTGTGCACGGTTCTCTGGACAGTTTGAACGACGAAGAACCTAGTACGCTCGTCAGCCGTCGTTCGACCATGGAGAGCAACTTTAACAACACCATCAGCAAGCTCGCTGAGAATGAGTGGATGAAGACGGAGCACCTTGGTCAAGTTACTGGTCTTCCCACTAGAGAACACTGGAAGGTTAGTATTTTTTTTCTTTTCTTTTCTTTTTTTTTTTTTCCTTTCCCTTTTCCTCTTGTCTCGCGAGGGATATAGTGGGATATATACCCCTAATCATCGCGCAAGAATCTTCGCAAATGGCGTGTAAGCTCGTCATCGCATCCGATGGCGTGACTAGTCATTTACCCTACAGGGATTCTCCTTTGCGTTAGGCAATGAGCAAAAAGATTAACAATGCTCCCTCACAGGCGGACGCTGCTTCTCCCAACTGCGACTCACCCACCTGCCGCTCATCTTTTGGCCTCTTCCTGCGTCGTCACCATTGCCGCCACTGCGGACATGTGTTCTGCTCCTCTCACACTCCCCATATAGTGCCTCTTGATCAAGATGCTCGCTTCCACCCTGAAGGAGTTCCTTCTCGCGCCTGCGATCTCTGCTGGAGCGCTTACCAACGCTGGGAAGAGGCTCGCACTGAGCGTTTGAACAAGATCCAGACTCTCTTGACTCAGCAAGAGACGACTGGCAATATCAACCAAGACACCGAGTCTGCCACAAACGTTACAGCGAGCTCCGACACTCCGCAGCAGGACGATCCTTCGAACCAAGCCACCAATGCTCCTCAGGGCCAGGCTACTGAGATTGCTGCCAGCGTTCCCCGCGGATGGAACTGGAGCACCTTCTAATCGGATCTACGCTCTACGACAGTCCTACATTTTCTGCATATGCATGTCATCTCCAGATTCATTCTCTGAATCTGTCCTCATGATCATTCAGCGAGGTCTTTCTGACCATCATTTCGGTCAATTTCGGTCATCTGCGCGGAGTACTGGTTTTCATTCCGGGTTCTTGCCTTCGTCCCCTTTCTTTTCTGTCCGCATAGTTTTTCATGCGACTCATAGAAAGGGCTCTTGTCGTTATTGTTCAGACTCAGGATACCCCGTCATGCTTCTTTCTGAGCGGCGATCTGTTATTTCAATTCTCATGGTTCACGGCGCTTACGAAGGAATGGCGTGGTTATTGCATTACTTTCTTTTTTCAATCAGGGTACCCATAGATGGTTTTCTAATACGTTACAATGATACTCTATCTAGATATTTTCGCTCGGATCCTTTCTCCTACTGTAAATCTATGAACGAGGCTCTAGGTCAATCCTCTTCCACATCCCTACATGCTCAATCCCCTCCTCATCCCACCTCCCCATCTTCTCATCTGTCACAAACCCAAACCGCTCATACATCTTCTCCCCCTGCACCTGCGCGTGAACCAGCACCAACCCCTTCCACCTCAACTCCCTCCCCACCACCCGTCGACACGCCTCCTCGATCTCCTCCACATGGCCCCTCGCCCACCCCAACGCCTCATCAACCAGTCTCCGCCCGAGCCCAAGACCTCGGTACTCCCTCAAAACCGCCACCCTCGTCAACTTGATATACGCCTCATGCGCAGTATCGTACTTTGACAGTGACGCATCAGCACCGGGGTTTGTGACGAGCTCATGCGGTGCATGCGGCGGCGGGACGAGCCGGATGACTGCTACGGGGCTTTTGACTGAGCTGCTACTGTCATATATCACCCATTGCCAGCTGCGGGGGTCGTCGTCGTCGATCTCGGTTAAGGCGGAGACGTGCTGTCCGTCGACGAAGACTTTGAGGCGGATGGTCATCGCGTCGTTGAAGGTTGGGGGGTTTGTTGGTGGGAATGGGTTGGACGGGGTGGGGAGGGTGAGGTTCCATCCCGGCGGGGGTTGGAGGGCGACGGTGAATGATTTTGGGTTGGGGTCGACGGTCATTTTGATGTGCTATGCGTCTGATGTGGAGGAGGGGTGGTAGGAGTTAGGACAGTCAGTGTAGATCTAACAATTGATAGAATGAACGTTTTGAATTGATGCGGTTGAGAGTATCGATGGAGAGCACGAGGATAAGCTTATCGGTTCACTATCTGGAGCAACAGATGCAAACAGCGCAAAGCAGTGCAAACATGGTTGGATTTTCCATCATATCCAGCTTGTGATGAATTCACCAGGTCAATCATACTACTACCGTGATAAATGTCTCTTTATTACGACGCGGTCTCAGTTTTGACCGCCCCCTCATCGACAGGCGGTTCCTTCAAATCCCGCATCTACAGCTCGCGGAACCTCAAATCCTCCCCGGCGCAAATCTACGCTCTGGTCATCGAGGCCTCGAAATGGGATATCCTTCTCAAAGAGGTCATTGAGGCGGCGGGAATCCTCAAGCAAGAGCCCAAGGTAGCTACATCACAGTTTCTGACTATCGTAATAGATATTTCCTGCTGACTGACCGAGACCTGTGGTTGAACAGCTCACTCCCTTACTTGCCCTACTGCTCGTGCACGACCACCTCCTCGCCAAGAATGGCATCGCAGCCAACGCAAACCATCCGCTCCGCCAGGCGATCGAGAGACACAAGACTCGGCTAAAGGGGGAATTCGCCAAGGCGCGCGTCCGCCGCGGATGTGCCTCGATACCCGATCTGAAGGCCGCCGTGCTGCGCGAGAAACAGGCCGCGCAGAGTGCGCTCGGGACTTCTTCGACGGCGGTGTATCCGCGCTGGGTGCGGATCAACAATCTCCGCACGACAATGGAGGAGCAGCTCCAGTTTACGTTCAAGGCGTATACCAGAGTCAACTCGCTCGCGGAACTAGGGGAGAAGGACGAGGCGAAGCTGTACGTTGACCCGCACGTGCCGGATCTGGTGGCCGTCGCGCCAGGCGTGGACTTCACCTCGTCCCCTGCGTACAAGAACGGGCAGATCATCCTGCAGGATAAGGCGTCGTGTTTCCCGGCATATCTGTTACTCGGGGATAGCGAGGACTGGTCCGGCGATCTGCTGGATGGATGCGCGGCACCTGGAAACAAGACGACGCACATGGCTTCGTTGCTTGCGAAGCATGCCGCCGGTAAGGGCGTCACCCACCACATCTTCTCCATGGATGCGTCCAAGGTGCGGTCCAAGACATTGCAGAAAATGGTCACCGCCGCGGGCGCAGACGATATAGTCACCGTCCTCCAGGGCCAGGATTTCCTGGCGCTCGACCCAACCGAGGACCGCTTCGCAAACGTCACCGGCCTCCTCCTCGACCCCAGCTGCTCCGGCAGCGGGATCGTCGGTCGCGACGACGTCCCCAAACTCGCACTTCCCGCCGCTGCATCCACGCAGACCGGTAAATCACAGGGGAAGAAGCGCAAACGCAGACACGACGAGGAGGAGGAGACTCAGCCTGGCAACGTGGCCACTTCGGCCTCAACTTCAGCGTCAGCCACAGATGAAAACGAATTCGCGAGCGCAACCCTCGACCCGGACCGTCTGACGAAACTCTCCAACCTGCAAGCGCGCATAGTCGAACACGCGCTGAGCTTCCCGGCCGCCACCCGCGTCACGTACAGTACGTGCTCCATCCACCTGATCGAGAACGAGGCGGTTGTGTCTCGTGTACTCGCCTCGGACGTAGCGCGCTCTCGCGGCTGGAGGATCATGCGCCGCGAGGAGCAACCCCGCGGCATGAAGGCTTGGCCGCACCGCGGTGTCAGGACGGAGGGCCGATATGGCGATGCGAAGGGCGATGGGGAAGCTGCTGCAGTGGATCTATCCGATGAAGAGCTGGAGGCCTGTTTGCGGTGTTGGGCCGATGATGAGGAGGGACTTGGTGGGTTTTTCGTCGCCGGTTTTGTGCGTGATGAGGGAAGCGTAAACCGTCCTACTACGGAAGAGCCAGCGTCTCAGGATACGGATGAGGATACGGAAGCCAGTGATGAGGACGAGTGGGAGGGTTTCTCTGATTAAAAGTCTCTCCTGTGTTACGTCAAGGAGTAGCTTACTGCAATGTGTATATAGCTTTTGATTGCTGGAAAGAGTCATCAAGAACCCAAGAACCCCCTAGAGCGATTCCTCACCCTCTCCTCGGTGTAAATATCCAACTTAACTGCTATCAAAACCAACTGTGCGCTCGCGGCGGGACCAGACTCAACCACCAAACGCCACTGTCCCTTCTTCACTACCATGCTCCCAGACTCTAGGTCGTCCTCCACTCGCTTGCGTTTCGCAGGTGGCCGATCGGAGGATTCTGCTGTCCCGCTAGGGAGATCCAGGTAATCCACAGTCTGCCCATTCAGGACCAGCTCCGTCTCCCCCTGGAACCTGATCGAGAAGCTGTCTCCGCCTGTAGAGGGGTGTGCTGATTCCCCAGTCCTGTATAGGGGCCCCTCAAGGCCGACGCTTTTGGCAATCACCTGTGCCAAGCTCGACATGCGGGCTTTCGCCAGATTCAGGAACCCCGCTCGCATGGCGCGTGCATCGAGAATCGTGCTTTCGTCACCGATCTCCAGGATCAGGTCGTGCGGCGTCTCGTCCACGAAAGGGCGAGCGTACGTCACCCGGTCGCGAGTTGTGGAGCCGGGGTGGTTGAAGTTGTCGTCGCGTGCATGGCGGATTCCTGAGGGACGTACATCGTCTAAGCGGATGACGATCTCCGATCGTTGCCGGATGGGATTGAAGCTGATGTGATGAGGGATGAGTTTCTGTTCTAGGCCGCGGAGGTGAAAGTAGCGACAGTCGCGGAGGAGTTCGGCGCGATGCTCCTCATTCTTGATCTGGAGGGGGTATCCGCGAAGGAGGTGGAGGAGCTGTGCGAAGACGTCGCCGGAGCGGTGGGTAACGCGTGGGGGAACGATGGCGGGTGGGCGCAGCAGACCGTGACGGTCTAGGCCGGGGAAGATCTCGCTTGGGTTGGCGAAGAAGACGGCGAATCCGAGGGAGAAGAAATTGGGAGAGTCGCCGGGTCCGGAGAAGATGTCGCGCGAGATTTGGAAATGGCGTTCGCCGATTTGAATGAAGATTTGGGATTCGAATAGCTGGGAGATCAGTCGGGGTACTGCGAGGATCAGTCTTCGTTCTTGAGGACGCGACAGATAGCAATGGACTCCGTACAGGTGTAGAATTGGGCATCCGCAAACAGTTTGACAAATTGCGACTCATCCTTGGGTTCTACATGATAGCCTGTGACACGTTAATCCTGACCTCCGAAAGACTGGTCGCTTTTCATCCTACCCTGCAGGTGTCTGGCAATCTCTCGAAAGGTCTCTGGATCTCGGTCAATGTAGAGCGTCCGGATCGTCGCGTTCTCTCCGTTCTGGCGCAATTGTTCTTCGAAGAACTGAGAGAAATAGGACGGGGCTCCAGGACGTTTAGCACGAGGTCATTATAGGCTCGAGCATCTCAACTGACCATCGGAGGCGATCGAGGCCCCGGAAAGACGAAAGAGCTCGGTCCCGATCTGGATCGAGAAGACCTTTTCGGTCGGCAGCGAGGACTTGACCTTTGTGGCAGGGGAACAACGTTGCGAGTCGGAGTCGGTGCTGGCCATGTTCGGTGCCTTCTCCTAGTTCGGTCACCTATATGTCCTCCCAGTACTCATTGACGGCTCGGAGGATCGAGGTCGCAGTGCTTGGTTTAGAAAGTATGTGCGGTCGGTCAACTTGCGCGTTGTTTACCTAACAATCAGAGTTGTAGATCGTTCATGCGAGTGTGCAGGAACACTGATGACCCCTGAATTGCGCATCAGTGTTAGTGACTGGAGATGAAGGCGGTGTGGATGTGTTCAACTTACGCCTGATGGCACGAATAAATCAATTCAATCCATAGATGCAGCTATTCATCGAAAATTGACGGGAGCACCTGTATGAGTGAGGAGGTTACAGTTGTGGGCGATGACGGGCACTCGAGATAAGACACACGCGCGACCGCAAACTGGGCGTGCGTGGCTCGATTTCGCCTGACTTGGAGCACGAGATGGCTTCCTGCAGGATCATTCTTTTCATTTAAAGTACGGTATACTTGAATCAATCATATCATCAGTAACTTAATATGACTTCACTCTGTACAATCACTACTAGACAGTTTACATCATTTTCTAGTGCGAGATACTCCACGGACTCAACACGAACAAGAGCACAGCGTCGTCAACCACTCGATTGAACACCATATGATAGACATCTTAGCATCCCAGACTATCAATACCAATCGACAAACTGCGATCTGACGATCAATTGAGTGAAAAACCACGATTCTCTTGTTGAGGGTGAGGGACAAATGACGAATCCATCTTTGAAGCTTTGGGAGCATCAACACAAATCCGGAATCCAGGGAATCAATCGTGTCCAGATCGATCAATTGCCCTCGATTTGAGAAAAGCAACCGTTGAAAGGGGAATAAGATACCTCTCTGCTTGAAATGGAAATGTCTCCCTTGAAGATGTTCACATGGAGACCCCGGCCAAAACGGTAATGGATCTCGGCTCAGCGATGGTCGATCGTTCCTCTTCCCCGCACATCTCCAGACTCATCATTTGACTGTTGTTTGGGAACAACGAGAATGATAGGTCTTCTGAAGAGCTATGGCGTTAACTAAGGCCGCTGGTCTGGAAATGTATCCCCAAGAGCGACCGATCGCCCCCTCAGTCCAGTTATTCGACAACGCCGTTGCTACTACGTATTTAGACTCTCGGAGCCTCGACCCACAGCGTCCCAAGCTCAGTCAACATCATGGCCACTGCCTCGGTTTCGAGCTCTGCGGGATTGTCGAAACAGACCTGGTTTGAGACGGCGAAGACTACAATAAACCTTGGGCTGACAGGTCACTGAATCATCCCACTCGGAATCGCCAATAACAATCCTAATAATTGGAAGGAAGGGCCGGACCGGGTTTTGGGCTAGTTCGCAAGCATTACTCTTCTGGGCAGGGCAGTTCGTGCCTAAGAAAGAGCAAGTGCAAG